TGCAATAAAAAAGGGCACAATCCCTCCTCTGCCCACCCCTGGAAATGCAACCTTCTACCAACCCTGGCCCTTTTATGTGACAATAAGTTAGGGGGACCTCAAAGTCACAGGAATTATTGGTTGTACTATCTTAATCTATTTTTTCCCCAGGTCATTATTTTTGGGGTCAATTGTTGATTCTAACAAGGAAGCATTTGGAGTAACAAAGGATGTGATAGGAAAAACAGCCAGCATGCCATGGCCTTTGTTCTGTATCTGCTGCAGGTTTTTTTTTTTTTTTTGGAGTGGAAGATGCAGTCCCGAGATGCCGCCTGCGCTCCCTATAGTCCCAGATGTGAAGTGTCTGTCTTGTTGAAGACTGTATCTGGACCCCAGACTGTATAGCTGGCCGGGAATCCTGTGCTCCTAGGATATGGCAATGCCCACGGGAAGGCAGGGGCTACCCAGGGTGGGCATGCAGAATGGGAGGACTTCCTTTGCTTGCGCCAATGGCTCCTTGTTCCGGTGGATTTACAAAACAAAAAGACCAAGTTACAAAGACTTTTCGGTGGATGACATCAGACCCGGGAGCCATGTTGGCCGTGCCTTGTGGCCTGCCGGCCACAGGCTGCACACCCACACAGCTGACCCCGGTCAACCCCGTCCTTTAGAGAACTAGTCTGGCCTTTGTGGCGCAGATGTTAAAGGGCTGAATGAATGAGATAAATAAACCTACTGCCCGAGGCACATCCTGCAACCTTGGTTACAATTTATACTGCCAGCAAACAAGGTTTGAAAATTCTGGTTGAGAAAATGGTGCTTGTTTTGAATGGGGGTTATTTATTTATTTATTTATTTTTTTAAATCAGAGATGCATGAGGGTCACCATGGGAGAGATCGCAGACATGCATCTGCTGTGCCGTTTCAGGACCAAAATCCTAGAGGATGAAGAAGCAACAGCTTGTGTTAACGAGAGAAAGCAGGTGAGGAGTGGATGAGGAAGAGAGCGTGCAAACAGCCCAGTCACCATGTTGAGAGCCGTTTTGTGTCCGGGGCTGAGGAATACCACTGGGCCCCGAAAAATGAGTGTCAAAATAATATCTTGGAAGATTTGACTGGTGCCCATGTCAATGTCAGCACTATTTGCAAGAATACCATTAAAGAAGAGGGCATATTAGTAACATTAGGAAATAATTAGGGCCCAGTAATAGAGACACCATTGGGTATGAGCTTTAAACATTTACTGATTTCTTATAGAAAGTGAGGGAAGAGTGATGTCTTAAAGATGATATTCACATATGGTGTGTGTGTGTGTGTGTGTGTGTGTGTGTGTGTGTGTGTGTGTATCTGCTGTGGGATAATTCTTCTGTAATCTGTGAATATGTATTACTCTCATTAGTTAATAATAAAGCTGATTTGCCTATGGCAAGGCAGGATAAAGTTAGGCAGGGCAATCAAACTGAAGACTGGGATGAAGAAAGGCAGAGTTTGGGGAGATGCCAGGGAGCCAGCCATCCAAGAAGCAAGATACTAGAGGGTAGGTCAAGCCATGAGCCACGTGGCAATAAAGGATGAATAGAAATGGGTTAATTTAAATGTAAGAGCTAGCTAGTAATAAGCCTGAGCTATTGGCCAAGCATTTTGCAATTAATATAAGCTTCTGTGTGTTTATTTGGGACCAGGCGGTCGGGACAAAAAACCCTACCTCCGTCTACATATATCCACGATTTTCCTTGGAGAAAGAAGAACGAGCAGGATTACTTTGGTGCGGGATAAAATGTCAAGAAAAGACAAGCTTTCTGAATTTGGAGAAAATGAGAAAGTTGAGTGGCTTTTTCAGACCGAAGAGTAATGTCAGGAATGAGACATTAGAAGGGAGCTGAGTGTCTGACATTTGTTTGTGATTTGTGGCTAAGGTTATGGGGAATGGAGGTGTCACCTAAAAGTAGTTCAAGTACAGAGAATTTCCATGGAGGCCGCATGTCTGTGGGAGAAGGACCTCCCTGTCCCCTGGAGCAAACCTGAGGTGTTCAGAAGAGAAGGGCTGTGTTTATTTAGTGGCCCCGAGACTATGGAAAGATGCATTCCTGCCTTTACTTGAGGGGGACTTGCTCCGACTTCTTTAGGGATGGATGGGTAGGGGGCCTGTAAGGCCATCCGCTCCCCCCACCAGGAAGTCTATACTTTCTTTTGAGACCGTGATCTAGATCTTCAGGGTCTAAACTCACCAGGCCTGATTCCAGCCCCTAAACCCCTTCCTCCAAAAAGATTACAGTGCTCAACGCATGGGATTGCTGAGGGCCAACTGTTAGAGTTGGACTGCTGGGATGATCAGGCTGGAGTAGTTCAACCCTTGAGGCTGCTTGTTGGGAGGGATGGGCCTAGGGCATGCAGAGTGAAAGGGAGGCTTATCCCACAGCCTCATGATTCAGTGCAAAATTCAGAGTGGTCCAAATCTGAACTTGGCTGGCCTTGTTACCAAGGCCATAGTATATAGCTGTTAGAGCTGTTCACTTCTTATATAATTTCCACTTATTTATTCATTTGCTATGTGGGCCTGCATTTATCCTCCTGTTCTGGACCTGCCCCCAGGGGAATTCCTTCTTGAGTTGAAAGGCTTAGGCAGAGGGTGAGGAGAGTCTCATCTCAGATAAAGTAACTTTTACTGCTTACATTATTACTGTTATTATCTTTAGTGGTTATGTAGGAGACCCTTAAAGACTAGGAGAATAACCTTTTTGCCTCAATGTGATCTCAAATACTTCTCGTTTTTTTTGCGAATGGGCGTAGTTGTTTTTAGCAGAAGAATAAAAATACCTTGATGTTTTGGACATTATTTGTCCCCTTGTACATGATGGAAAGACCAGAATTACTGGTTAAACTGAGTGTCTCCTTTCCTTCAGATGTCTGGAAGGCAGCTTTTCCTGCAGAGCTGGGACTAGGATTCCTCCCTGAACTGGGAAGGAAGACAATGTTGGTCTGAAAAAAAAACCTGTTTTTCCAACTCAGCTTTGAGCCTGGGCCCTGAGCCTTTTTTTATTTTCCTTTATGCTTGACATTAGGAATTTATTTATTTATTTATTTATTTGGTTTTTTTTCTAGACAGGGTTTCTGTGTATAGTTTTGGTGCCTGTCCTGGATCTTTCTCTGTAGACCAGGCTGGCCTCGAACTCACAGAGATCCGCCTGCCTCTGCCTCCCTAGTGCTGGGATTGAAGGCGTGCGCCACCACTGCCCGGCAGGGACATTAGGAATCTTAAAAACAGGGAAGAGAAACGACTCAAGCAGGGCTGAGAGAGATGAGGACCCAGAATGATCAGTGGAGTTCAAGTTCTTCTTTGTCCCGTAAGTGTGCAAACTGAGTCAGGGTCCAAGTGATTACGAGGGAGGTGATTTCAAGATTCCTTTGTTACCACCAAGACTCAAGCCATTTAATCAAGTGGACAGGATGAAGAGACACAGCTTAAGTTCTAGTTCAACATATGGACACTTTTCTTGAAGAGCTCGTCAGGCATGTGCTGTTCATTATCTTATCAACAGTGGATTTTCATGTAACTATCATTCTCATTTTATAGGCTTTGGGCACCTAAGACACCTACCCGAGATTGTGTGCATAGTCTGTTACTGAGACAGGCCTAAAAATAGTCCCTTTTGATAAATCAGAGCTTATGCTTTTGATCACAGTGTTGGTATGACCAGCTTCCCAATAGTCCTGGGTATGATATTGGGAAGCAAAGCTATTTAATTTACTTATTTGTTTGCTCATGTATTTTGGTACTGGGGTCTGAACATAGGTCCTTATATTCTCTAGGCATGTACTCTACCACAAACTCAAGTAGGTATTTCCTATAGTTTCTAGAAGACCAACATTTAGAGAGGTTATTTGGTCTGACCACTTCATTTACTTAGTTATGTATGCAAATAACCAGAGGAGTCACATGATACGTCTCACACCACACAGCTGGTTAATGGTAAAAGGAGATTCTAGGCATGGGGATACTGCATGGGTATTTCCACTGCTTTCTCTATTCGGAAGGACTAGTCCAGAAATGCATTTCAAGTTATGCTTAGTGGAGAAGTAGAAATGTTTTCTTCGAATCTTCAAACTTGGAGTGGGGTGCCGGCCTCTCATGGCCCTGCACTTCATTCTGTGGATGCTGAATGAATACATAAGGAAACACATTGCTTGTGGGCTGGCCTCACCACGTCATACTAAGAATGAAGACACATGGTGGTTTGCTTTCAGTTTTACACCAAATGTGTGTTTTGTCTTTGTGTGTGTTGTATACACGCGAGTGTGCCTGTGTGCAGGCGTGCAGAGGCCAAAGCAGGGTGTTGAGTGTCTTCCTTTATTGTTCTGCTCCTTAGTCTCTTCAGACAGAGTCTCTTATGGAACTGGGAGTGTGTTCTTTTTGCTGGACTGGCTGGCCAGTGAGCTCGAGGGATCCACCTGCCTCATTTCCACTCAATGCTGGAATTACTCACAGCGTACACTCACAGATAGACTCCATTTTTAAATTGAAGTGAGAGATTTGAACCCAGGCTTTTAGGTTTGCTCTTGCTGACTGAGCCATCTTTCCAGCTCCTCTGTGTTTATCTGTTATCAAAAAGCCACTTCCTTCTCTGAGGGTAGCTAGGCCAGGAGCAAATGCCTCTGCATTCAAGTTGCTAATCCATAATTGGCTTTCCTGTTGGAACTCTTGGCTCATTATTCTGCCTAAGTGAAGTTATAGGGAGTTGGGTAGAGTCATGGCTCATGCATGTAATCCCAACAGTGTGGAGGCTGAGGCCCCAACATGCTGACTTGAAGGCCAGTGTAGGTTATACAGTGAGACCTCATCGCAAAAACAAAACAAAACAAAACAAAACAAAACAAAACAAAACAAAACAAAACAAAAACCCAAACCAAAACGAAAAAACCCAACAAATCAGCAACAGTAAAGCACAAAACTAAAATTTAGTTAATTTAGAAGAAAAGTCACATGAGCTAGACTTCCATGTTTTTCAGAGAAGGCTTTAAAACAGGAAACTGAAAAAAAGAGGGGGGTTATTTGTCTAGCTTGTGGGTTCAGAAGTTGTTTCAGTTAGTTTGCACAGACTGTCTCAGAACTTTAGTTGCCTCAATGGTCATTGCTTATTTGTTCGTAATCACACACAAGTCAGCGGTCCATTTGGACTCTCATCATCTGTCGCCTCAGGTCTCGACAGTGGCCAGAGTGGTGACTTTGTAGACAGTTTGCAGATAGCTGTGACCATTCCTCCCATCCTGTACAAAATCCCTCTTGCACGGCGATGTCGCCATATCTGTGCAAAACAGAAGAGATTATTTCTCATTACTATTTGTTGTTGCTTGGGATTTTTAGGTTTTGAGACTGAGTTCTGCTATCTCACCTAGGCTGGACTTGAACTCTCAATTCCTTTGTGTCTCGGTGTCAGCCTTCTATGATGAGATACATAAGACCACGTTGGGCTTTTCTCATTCCTTTACCCTGTGTGTTTGGATTTAACTCAGTGACATTTTCCCCTCAGTGGGACATTAACGAGGGACACCACAGCCATTTGTTAAGTTTTTGCCCAATAGGACTTGTTTTCTTGCTTCTGTGAAGCAGGGGGATCATCTGCGAAATATACTTCACTCTGTCTCCTAGAGAATGGGGACCCATGTGTTCTGTTCTAGCTGAGACTGGAGATGTGAATGAGGCCATCTAAGCTCTACAGCTTCGTCAACTTGATCCAGACCCAAAGAACTGAGCACCATTGGTGCCACAAGCCACTTTGTTATCCCCGTTTGCCAGCTTGTTTAAACTGTTATGTGTATGGTCTTCTGTTTAAGTCACATAGTACAACCGTTTCAACAGTTATTTTTGTTTGTGTGTGCTTTAGGAATCTGGATGATCTGAATAGCTTTTGTTCTACAAAATGGTGTTTGCTTGTTTTTGTTTTCATTTTTTTTTTTTTTTCTATGTGGCCCTGCCTGTTCTGGAACATGCTCTGTAGACCAGGTTGGCCTCAAACTCACAAAGATTTGCCTGCCTCTGCCTCCTGAGTGCTGGGATTAAAGGCACAAAATGGTGTTCTTGATGTATGGTTCATAGTTCAGGAAACTGTTCTTGCCCATGAGCTCCACTGACCAGGAAACTTATCAATGGAAAGAAGTCCAGAACATATGTTGGTACCCCGGATTCTTAGAGGAGTGCTCAGGGGGTGCTCTTGTCCCTCTAACAGCAGGGGGACCTTCAAAAGTCCGATGGCAGCTGTGACATTCCCAAGAGGAGGAAAGCCGAGCTGGTAAGTAAAAGTGATGGGGTTCAGGAATGAGAGAATGCCTTTTGTATGTCCCTCTTGAGACAGGTCCTTGTGAACTGAGACCAGAGAAAGCATTTCACTTTTCCTGCCTGAGACGATTAGTGGTTTACAATGTTAGGTTTAATTAAGTCAGTGTCTTCAGAAAACAAAGAAACAAACAAATAAAAAACAAAACCAAAAAACTCTATTGTACCTTCAACAGATGTGGGCCCATACAAATCCAAGACATGCTGTCTTTCTACCATTGCCTGGGGATGGAGACCACAGCCCAGTTTGGAAACACTCATTTTCTTCTAGGTTCCTTGCTACTGACTCCATGCTCTTTGGATGGGTGGCCTCTGGATGTGTGTTGTCAGAGCTCAAGTGAACTTGAAGCGGATCTTGACAACCACAAAGTCCCCTGCCCCTCCCCCCATCATTGAGCACTGTTAACAAATGCTCACCTTCTACTTCATCTACAATGCCATAACGCTGGTGGCATTTTAAAGGCTTAGGGTACACAAAATATAAGCAAGCACAGTACATTTAGGAATTGGAGATTTAAAGGATTGGCCAGTTTTCAGATAAAGCAACGAGCTGGTGAAATCGCTTTCCTGCAGACATTTCAACTGGTGAGAGAGCAAGGTTGTTATTAGAGATGGGAGTGAGGGAGAGAAAACATCAGAACATTGTGAATGTAAGGAAGGGATATAAGTTCCCGGGGTGGGGGAAGAACTTCAGAACGGCATGCAGACTATAAAGAAAAGGGAGAGGTCGTCAAGCACAAATCCTTTGCTTGCTTTCCTTCATTCGTTTGTTCGTTCGTTCGTTCGTTCGTTCGTTCGTTCGTTCGTTCGTTCGTTCGTTCGTTCGTTCGTTCCTCCCTTCCTTCCTTCCTTCCTTCCTTTCTTTCCTTTCTTCCTTCTGTCTTTCTCTCTCTGTTTCTCTCTTTTTTCTTTCTTTCCCTCCCTCTTCCTCTCTTTCCCTCTCTTTCTTTTTTTCTTTTTTTGTGTAGGGGATTGCACCGAGGACCTGCCTATGTACACTTGGCGATATCCCTAGCCTTATGGGCTACTCTTGACTTCAGGAGTTGAAGACAATTGCCACCATGGTTATCACTGCCTTCCTCCTTCTCTTCCTTCTCCCTCTCCTTTCTACGGTCTCCTTCTCAAATCCCACCAAGCTAGAGTTCTGAGAACAGTTTAGGGGGATTCTGACATACCTAAAAACTTTCTGAAATATGTTCTAATAGTTGTTTCTTAAAATGCTCAGTATAAAAGAGATAACTAATCAAATCAGTTTGAGAAATATTTATACATTAAATCTCACTTTTCATTACCATGGACACTAGCATAGTTTTCTGAAGACTTTAAAAACTATCACAGTGGAGAAATAATTCTCTCTTTTAAGAATATAATGCTTGCCTATTCTATTTAGATATAGCAACCTTCATGAAATGATTTAATAACATGTATAAATGACTTCACTTGAGAAGTACTAAGTTGGCTGGCTCAATTTAACCAAAAAAAAACAAAACAAAAAAAAAACAAACAACAACTATGTGTGTGTGTGTGTGTGTGTGTGTGTGTGTGTGTGTGTGTGTGTGTGTGTGTACTAGGCATCTTGGGCATATAGAGCCCACTAGATATGGTAGAATAGGACATATCAAACTTATACAGAATTGTATTATATAAAATAGGAAAAAGTAAACAGCAAATCAATAAGGTGCTTTCATTGAAGGTTTAAAAAAAAACCACTCAAAGTGGCTTAAGTGGTGAGAAGATGGCTGGCTTATGTAATCGGGAAGTTCAAGGTTAGGTAAGCCTTGCTGAGCTTGTTCTGTCTGGACTCTGGTTCCACTTCCATATCAATCTTTTGGTTATGCTCTTCCCTGGATGCCAACATCATCCTCAAGTTGGCTTCTTTCCCGAGAACAAAATATATACCATGGCGACACGAGCCATGGAGTGCCTAGTTTTCAAATGCTGAAGGAGAATGCGATTCTGCACTGTCATACTTCGAAGACTTGGGATGGTTAAAGCTTGCTTAAACCAGCCTATGGGGGCAAGAAGACTTCAGATGTCTGTTGGCGAGGCTCGGCTTACTTGGACTCAGTCAAAACGGATGAAATCATCCTTATGATGTGGATCCTGATCCAGGCTCAATATTGTTGGAATCTTTGCTTGCCAACATGTGTTGGAGAGGGCGAAACAATGTTGTAGGGAAATAACTAAAAAAGTCTGTTGCAGAAGGCTCATAAAGAATGTGTTGAGGCTCAGAGAATCCAGTTAATAGGCTCTGGTTGTTAGAAATTTGAGGGCGATAGCCTTCAAGCTGGTTGTAAAGAGCATGCATTGGCCTCGCATATGAGGGAGAGGAAGAGAAAAAGGCCTTGGCAGGGGAGTCAAGAGGCAAAAACATGAGCGAGAGTGAATGGAGAGCTCTTAGGCAAACAGACCCATTTGGACCGAGTAGTCATAACAAAGTTCTATGGTAAAATGCATTCCTCATTGCAAATCCTTCAAAAATGAGGTTTTGAAATATAACCCATTAGTAAACTGGGAACTCCCTGTTCTCATGGAGATAGTGGGAAGCCCTATTATCATTAGTAATGTTTGTGTTCCAAGAGGAGTACAGTTGGTATGTCCATGAAAAATCGTTAGGGAGAAATGGCTGGCTTGACTGAAGAAAAAAAAAAAACAACTAGCTTAGAGGGCTGACCAGTGACACATTTTAGAGCAAAATATTTGTTGGCAGAAGTTGAACAAAAAAGATTTCTTTTCTCTGAGGACTTATTTTATTGCGGATTATATATTATTAATCTACAGAGCAATTTAGTTTAGAGATAAAACACAATTTTACAGTTGAGTCTTCCTATATGGCTCATCACTTTATTGAGCAACTAAGAAAGATGATCAAGTTCTTTTTGTTTGTTTGTTTTGAGACAAGGTTTCTCTCTGTAGTCCTGGCTGTCCTGGAACTTACTCTGTAGACCAGGCTTGGCCTTGAACTCAAAGATACATCTTGCCTCTGCCTCTGCCAAGTGCTGGGGATCAAAGGCATGCGCCACCACCTGACATCATGTTCTTAGTTTAATATAAACCTCCTGGATAAAGTTCCATCATTATAAATAAAGTCCATTAATAGTGTGTATTAAAAAGGAAAAGGGAGGAGGAGGAGGAGGAGGAGGAGGAGGAGGAGGAGGAGGAGAAGACATATATGGTAGAACCACATGGTGGCTGCCAGTTGGTAACAGGTACCAGAACAATAAAGAGTAGCTCTCATGTATTTTGAGTCTTTAAAAAAAAAAAATGGCTCCCTTGCTGTCTGTGCTGGAGCACACCTTTAGTCCCAGCACTCGGGAGGCAGAGGCAGGTGGATTTCTGAGTTGGAAGCCAGCCTGGTCTACAGGACAGCTAGAGAAACCTTGTTTTGAAAAAAAAAAAAAAAAAAAAAACCCAAAAAACCAAAACAACAACAACAATAAAATAAACCCCAAAATGTCTCCCTCACATTGGGTTTTCATTTTTAATTTGCAGATCCCTCCCCCCCCCAGCCACTTTCCACTTAGACCCTGTGTTGGTCCTTGTCGCTCCCTTGACAAACGTTTGTAGTTCTCCCTATAAAGCTCCAAGTTCCAAGCTCTGGTCTTGTTCTCTCTGCTTCTGCCACTGGCTGGTTCTGAATATGTAATTATTTCTAGGTGGAAAGGAGCGGATTAACAGAGCTTGCCCTAATTGCTTGTTTTTGTAGAGTTGTTAAGAAGGATTTGGGCTCCAGAAACACAGGGTGTAGCCAGACAGAAGGCAGCCGAGAGGAGTTCAAAAGTCTTGTAATCTTTGGCTCCACAGGCCTATAAAATGGAAGTGTTGACTGAATGCAAACAGCCTGCAGCCTGAGAGGCCCAGGTCCCAGAAAAGACGGAGGCCCCTTGGTCATTTGAAAAGGCAGGGGGTTTCATAATGACCCTGACTAACCTGTTAATGGATGGTCCCATTTGATTTTTTCCCCTGTTTCATGAATGCCGGATCTGAAGCTGTCTGCCACACAACAAAGCTTTTCTTAGCTCCCAGGTTCCTGGAATTCAAGACTAAATGAGGCTTCTTGCAAAGACCCTGCATGAAAGAAGCAAATTAAGAATTTGAAGGGATGATGATGATGCAATAATAACACACTCTTGTTTCCTGGTATCCCTCCGGAGGTGATGGTTAGAGGCTCATATTTATGAGCAAGATTGAGCTCAATGCTAAAACATTATTACAGGCAAGTAAGAGCAGGGGGCTCTTCTGGGAAAGTGCAGTGATGGGTCACCTTCTCACCTGGAAGGCTCAAGGGTTACTAGAGGTTATAAGGTTTAATGAGTATGGAAACTTTTGCTGGGTGAGAGGGCATTTTTAAAATGAAGCTGGAAATGCTTTTAAGTGACGGACTTCACAACAAATCCTGTTTCCCAGCACTCCTCGGGGTCCTTATGCATTTCCTGGGTATCTTCAAAGAAAAGACTAGTTGAGAAGCATGAACTATATGCTCTACATGACTGATCAGTGAAATAAAATACAGATATGTCAAGATGTAACAGAACAGCACATGAATGCTGTTTAGGAGAGGATGTGGTTGAGAAAACAATAGACACAGACTTAAAAATGGTTTTTAGCTGGACAGAAACAGGTAGGGATTAACGGAATTACCTCTATTTTCTTTTCCTTCTAAGATGCACTTGGGTGTGTGTGTGTGTGTGTGTGTGTGTGTGTGTGTGTGTGTGTGTGTATGTCAGCAAGTGAATTTTCAATTATTTTAGGAGACTTATCTCAACTATCTTTGAAGGAATTGTAGGTAGAACTACTTTTTTTTTTTTTTTTTTGAGACAGGGTTTCTCTGTGCAGCAGCCCTGCATATCCTGGAACTTGCTTTGTAGACCAGGCTGGCCAACAAACTCAGAGAGATTCTGCCTGCCTCTACCTCCCAAGTGCTAAGATTTTTTTTTTTAACATTTCTTATTTTTAAACTTACTTGTGCTCTTTTGAAACCAAGTAACTAGGGCTGGCCATGGTGGCACATGCCTTTAATCCTAGCACTTGTGAGACAGAGGCAGATAGATCTCTATGAGTTTGAGGCCAGCCTGGTCTACAGAGTGAGGTCCAGGTCAGCCTGGTCTACACAGCAAGGTCCAGGCCAGTCAGAGCTGTCAGTAAGACCCTTTCAAAAACAAACACACAAAAAAATTAGGAAACTAAAATCACTTTTAGGTCCGTATGAATAAAAATGGATACTTGTGGTAGTCTAAATTACTTCTATTTTTTTTCCCCTCAGGAACAAACATTTCTGAGTCCATTGTATTTTCCAGGTGATTCTCTGTTCAATGATACGACTGACAGACACCTCCCTTTGACTTTTTTATTTTCTCTCTCTTTTTAATCTCTGGGGGTAGAAATTCGAGACCCATCAAACAACTTGGGTCTCAAAAGTAGTTACTACCTCATTTTATTTCATAGAGACTTCACGGTTTAATTTTAACTAAAACAATGGACTACCCTGCAAAGAATTAGGTAGGGCTTTGCGTATTTGGAGCTCCAGGTTGGGGGCTGCTTTTTCTCCAACTCCAGAGCATCGACCTTTCAGAGAGAGAGAGAGAGGCAGGGTAAGAGGCTGAGTAAACTTTGTGGCTCACGTCATAGGGCGATGAGATGGACATCACATTTAGCCTATAGCCTGTCTCTTCTACAGGTTTGTTGGAAAATGTAAAATACAATTCTAGTATGTCTTAAAATCATCCCAGCTTTACGCAGCCTTTTAGGTTATATTCAACTTCTCATGAATAGAGCTATCTAAAGACTTAGTTTCCATTGTCTCTTACCCAAGAGATAACGCCGAGTTAGGGAGCTTGGAGGTGAGTGTCGCTTACCCCTTGTGTATAGGCAGAGGGGACAATTTGAGAGTCTTCAGATGTGATGTCTTCTGGGCTCCAAGGTTATGGCCATTAGGTCCCTCATCGCCATCTTATCTCCTGGCTTTGAAAGTATATGAACCTACAGTTGTTCTTTGGTCCAGACAACGCTACCAGTGTGGTTATTTTTGATGTCTTTGGCAGGTCCTCACCTGCCACTGAATTCTGGTGTTCCCCTCAGCGTCAGCCGTAGACTCCTCACGCTTTGTCCAGGTGGTCGGGCTGCCAGAGGGCATGCTACATTTTCCTCTGAACTCAGACAACAGAAAAACACAGGTGCCTTAGAAACCCTAAACCTCAAGACTTCTTGGCCAATCCCCACGGAACTAAGTCGCTCAGAATAGCTGAGTTTCAGCTCGTATTCTTTAACAGACACTCTAACCTGGGATATTTGATCTTGTGGAGATTTCATCTATGAACCCACTTCCTCATTTACATGGTGGAAACCAAGGTAGATGAATTTCGGAGGGAGATCTCTCCTGTCCCCTCCTTTCCCCTCCCCCCCTCTCCCCTTCCCTCCCCTCCCCTCCATTTTGTGTCCAGGAAAAAAAAAATACAGATTCCTGTTCACCTCCTTTATGGTGCATCTTTTGTCCACAAAAGAGATGCCACAATGATGGAACAGGTTCCTGTCTCATATCACCATAGAACCACGTGACCCGAGTCTTTCAGACTCCACTCTCCATATGTTAAAGGAAGGAAGAAGAGGGCCAGGAAGTATTTAGTGCTGGAATGAAATGTGCAAAGCTCCTGTCTGATGCATAATCTTACTTTCTTTTTCAGAAGTTAATTATTTCTTACAACACCCTGAATTTTCTCTGAAAAAAAAAAAAAAATCTCATGGGCAATGTCACTGTCAGCTGTGACTTATCTCTGGGATTTGAGGGAGTCCCAGGCAGCCAAGTTGAAGCAATTTGATTTGTGCTTTCTTTATTTGACCTCTTTGCTGAAGATATTTATTATTTATTTTTAATTTTAATTTTTAGATAACCTGAAAATTATAAAACACTGCAAGAGTAGCAAAGAACTAGAAATTCACACATCAGCATTTTTTTCCTTTGCTTCCCTGTTCTGTGTATATTTATATGTATTTTTTGCTTCCTTGTATTGAAAATAGATTTTTGAGGATTTATCTTAATATATCCTGATTATGATTTTTCCCTCTCCTGACTCCTCCCAGCTTCTCCCCATCTCCCCTCTTATCTGGATCCATCCCTTTTCTGTCTCTCCTTAGAAAGCAAACAGGCTGCCAGGAAATAATAATATAATTAATATAATATAACATAACATAACATAACATAACATAACATAACATAACATAACATAATATAATATAATATAATATGATGTAATATAAAATAATATGATAAAACAAAAACTAGCACAGTGGAATTGGACAAAACAAACAAACAAACAAACAAACACAAAGGAAAAGAGCCCAAGAGAAGGCACAAGAAAACAGACACCCATTTGTCACACACTCAGGAGTCCTATAAAAACACCAAACTGGAAACCATAATATATACAGCAAAGGTTCTATAGGGAAAAGGAGAGAAGGAAAACAATATATATATAAAATGAAAATTAAAAATAGATAATTAGATAAAAAAAGAAGGGAGAGCCCTGACACGACATTGGAGACAAGGACCCTCTAGTGATGTTGACTTTGTTTTCCCTTGTCTGTCTAGCGCATGGAATGTAGACCATCTTTAAGAGCAGTTTGCTTCCCCAGTGAGACTCCCTTGGAGGAAACTAAATTTTTCATTGGCAAAGGGTTATCAATTAGGGATTGCTTCTGGGTTAGGGATGGAGGCATGTGTTCATTTCTTTTTGGGGGGCCGTGTTTCAAGACAGAGTTTCTCTGTGTAGTTTTGGAGCCTGTCCTGGAACTCGCTCTGTAGACCAGGCTGGCCTCGAACTCACAGGGATCTGCCTGCCTCTGCCTCCCGAGTGCTGGGATTAAAGGTGTGCGCCACCGCCAGGTTTATATATCCGATTCTTTCCGCTCTAGGACCCGGTGCAGTGCGGGCCCCATTCGGTGCCTGCCCTGTACATGTTCCTTCAGTCCCTATGAGTTTGGATGTTTGTCTGTCTTTTTGATTCAGAGGGTCTTGTTTCCTTGGTATTCCCAATCACCTCCTGCTCTTACACTCTTTCCACCCCCTCCTCTGTTGGATTCTGTAAGCCCTGAGGGGATAGATTTGATGGAGATGTCCCTCCCAGGGCTGAGTGTTGCAGGGTCTCTCACTCTGCAGATTGTCTGGTTTAGGGTCTGCATTTGCCCCATCGGCTGCAGGAAGAGGCCTCATGATGGCTGAGCCAGGCATTGATCTATGAACACAGCAGATTGTCGGTAGGAGTCGTTTGTTTTTTTTTTTTTTTCAATTATATATATATATTAATTTTAAATGTCGAATGTCATTTCTTGAAGGGGGTAGGAGGTCTTCAATACAGGCTTACAGCACAATGGGAGGACCCCGGAAGGCAGAAGTTTGCTACCGATGTTTTACAATCTTGCATCTAAGCTGTTAATGCCCATTATGCAGGATACACAGACAAGGAACTTCCCTTAAGCATTTAGGAGGGTGGACCCCAGCAGGGAATTAGCATAGGGAGGATATCAAGGTCAAGGTCAGCAAGCAAGGCAACAGTTACCCAAAACGAGGGCCAGAGCCCTGCATTTCCCCCTTTTATTAAAAAATGAGCTTCTGACTTGGGTTGCGTGGGACGTCAGCAGGTCACGTTACCTGTCATGGAGACGCCTGCCCAGGCCACACAGGTGCTCTGTCTTAGGTTGGTGAGTGCCCGCCAGGCATTACCTGTCTCTGAATACTCATTATCATACTGGCTCAATCATGTGTGAGCTGCATGGTTAATTGCTGCCCAAGATCTCAAAGTGGCACTGGGCTTGCAATCTGTGTGTTGGTAGGAGTCGTTTTATTGCTCTGTCTTTGTGGGTTTTTTTTCTTTTCTTTTAGATCAATAGTATTTGGTTCCATCTTGTGGAGTGGCCTTCAGTCAAATCAGTTATTAGTTGGTTACTCCCATACATTTTCTGCAACCATTGCCCTAACATGTCTTGCAGGCAGAACACCATTGCACATCAAAGCGTTTGTGGCTGGGTTGGTGATTACATTTTTCCTTTGGTAGCTTGCAGAGTACCGTTCTATACCAAGGTGCTAGCATGTAGGGGTGAAAGGTCTATGTAGGTACCAACTTGACTTCTCCATGTTCAATGCATTGGGTAAGGTGTTGTCTTCAGCAATGGGACCTTGTTGTCAATTTGTGGAGGACAATCTATAGTCTTGGCAACAGCCTGGATTGTTTGGGGGGGGGTTCCCATAGGACCCCTTTACCCCCAGACTCAGTTAGATGTAACCCAATCCCAGTAGCTCTGACTCTCCCATTATTTGGTAGTTCTGTATATCACCTTCATATATGTATATATTTTAGGGGCTTCCACTGTATTAGGTTTCCATACTACCCGTAAAATAGCCCTTAATTTTGGTTGTCTCTCCCATACTCCCTCCCTCATCCACTTCTTTCCTCTTCCTCTACATTTGAGCCTCCCATTCCACTCTCCCTCCCATCCGTAATTCAATTTCTGTTTCTCTTTCCTAAGGAGATCTATGTGTCTCCCCCCACCCCCAACAAGTCTAGTACTCTGTAGTGCCACAGATAGCAGATTGCTTATCATTGACTTAGCACCTAATAGCTAATATTAACAAAGAAGCGAATAATACCATATTTGTCTTTTTGAGTTTGGGTCATTCAGTAAGATTTTTTTCTAGTTCCATCCAATTACCTGAGAATTTCATGAGTTCATTTTTAAAAAATGGCTGAGTAATACTCTATTGTGTAAATGACCACATTTTCTTTATCCAGTCTTCTGTTGAAGAGCATGTAGTAGTTTCCAATTTCTGGCTATTATGAATAGAACAGCAATGAACATGATTGAACAAGCGTCTCCATGGCAAGATGAAATGATCTTTGGGTATATGCCTAAGAGTGACACAGTTGGATAATGAGGGAGATTGAAACCCATCTTCCTCAGGAAGCACTGATTTCCATAGTAGCTATACAAGTACACTCTCATGAGCATTGGATGAATGTTCCCCTTACTCTACATCCTCACTAGCATGAGACCTCACTGGTCTGTTTATCTTAGCCATTCTTAGAGGTGTAAGATGAAATCTCAAAATGGTTTTGATTTGCATTTCCCTGATGAGGAAGGATGTTGAACATTTCTTAGTTTCTTAGCCATTTGAGTTTTCTCTTTTGAAAAATCTCTCTTTATGTACCCCATTTTAAAGTTGGGTTATTAGTCTTCTTGATATCTAGTGGGTTTTTTTTTTTGTTGTTCATTATGTATTTTGGATATTAACTCTTTATCGGATGTATAGATGTAAAAAATCTTTCCCTATTTTGTAGGCCACTGTTTTGTCCAAATGATAATGTCCTTTGCCTTTCTAAAGCTATTCAGTTTTATGAGGTCCCATTTATCAATTATTAATCTTAGTGCCTGTGCTAGTGATGTTCTGTTCAGAAAGTCTTTTCCTGTGCCAATGAGTTCAAGACTATTCTCAACGTTCTCTTCTAACAGTCTTGGAGTATCTGGTTTTATGTTGAAGCCTTTGATCCTTCTGGAGTTGAGCTTTGTGCAGGGTGATAAGTATGGACCTGTACTAGTTGATTTTATGTCAACTTGATACAAGCTAGTGTCATCAGAGGAGGGAGCCTCAATTGATAAAAATACCTACATAAGATCAGGCTGCAGCAGTTAACTCTACAGCTCACACATGATTGAGCCTGTATGATAATGAGTTTTCAGAGATGGGTAATGCCTGGGGGGGCACTCACCAACCTAAGACAGAATGCCTGTGTGGCCTGGGCAGGCATCTCCATGATGGGTAAGGTGACCTGCTGACATCCCACACAACCTAAGTCAGAAGCTCATTTTTTAATAAAAGGGGGACTTGCAGGACCCTGGCCCCTGTTTTGGGTAACTGTTGCCTTGCTTGCTGACCTTGACCTTGATATCCTCCCTATGCTAATTCCCTGCTGGGGTCCACCCTCCTAAATGCTTAAGGGAAGTTCCTTGTCTGTGTATCCTGCATTATGGGCTTTAACAGCTTAGATACAATAT